TCATGTTCTACTTTTTCATGTATCTATATGTAAATGTGAATGTGTGAGTGTGTGTGTGTATGTGTGTGTAGGGTGGGAATTTTGGGGTTGTGTCTCCAGACTCCTCGAACCACCTGTAGGTCTCAAAGGTCACACTGTGGTGATGTAAACCAACTGGACACACTTTCAACTCTCATCCAGGTCTCTACCTGATGCTCCACCCATCACGTCTCCAGATACCTCTCTTTCATGGCCCCGGTCTCTCTCACACCCACTCAGCTCTGCAGTGGCGTGGGGAGGGGCAAGGAGGTGGCATTTCCCTTTGCTCTTTGATCTGTGACCTGTGGCTGGGTGGGCTTTGCGCTGTCCAGTGTCCAGCAGTGACCTCTCGTACAGTGAGGCAGAGTCTGAAAAACAATCCTTGAGACGGCCAATTTAAAAAACAATAGATATGTGAATGAGATTGTTTTTCTCCCTAAAGTCAAAACAATTTTGGAGCGCTCTGGGTTTTCCCACATGCGCTATGTAAATAAAGATTACTTATTATCTTACTAATGATGACATTTGAAGACCAGAAACTCTTTCTTAATAAAAAACAAGACTCAAATCTCTTGAACCTTCAACCTTTAAAATATGTATTATGTACTTTTGCACTGTGTGATTTATTATCTATGCGTCCTTGGGTTTCTTGAAAGACGCCATGAAATGAAATTATGAAAAATCTCTATAAAAATGAACATTAATTTGTAAAAACATTTAAAACAAAACTTGAAATCAAACAAAAGATTTAGCTCCAGCTAAACTGGATTTGGTTCAATAAAACTCAATTGTGCGTCGGAGCTGCCTCCTCCTGTCTCTTAGCAGCAGCAAGGTCACGCGTGTAGTCAAAACAAAAACAAAAGTCACCACTTGAATGTGAATTGGGTAGTTTAACTTAATAATACTTTTACAGCCTAATTCCCTCTTTCTTTTTTAGACGAAGTCTATAATCAATAATCACTTTTAACACAGATTCTAATTTAAATGTTTGAAAAACGGCTTTTGTAACTAAAATAAAAAATACATGAAAAAATTCTCACTAACAGCTATGAAATATATCAAAGATGCAATAATGGACTCACAAAATAAGCAGCAGATTTAAAAAGAATGGAATCTAGAAATATGTTAGGTCTAAAAAGAATTGCACAGCTTTTAGCACTAATATTTGGGTTTCAAAAACATATAATATTCAAAACTTATTCACTAATGGTGTTTAAAAACGTTTAACTGTGTCATAACACAATGTTCAATGGCAAATTTCGCAAATTTAACGGAATAACTACTATGAAAAGCCAAAAATCCTAAAGCAGTAGCTTTGCTCTGATTCAGAAACAGAGCAGCGAAGGAGGGGGCCGTTTCCCTGACAACGGCAGCAAAATAGAGCACACACAGGCAGAAGGTAGTGTTTTAGCAAAAATGCTAAAACAGAAAGAAGAATAACTTTCAAGATTACTTTGTTAAGCGAATATAACTTGTAGTTTATACTTTTGTCATTTATCAGCCTGAAATTCGTCAATTTCAAAGCTTTTGTAACAAAGGCCTCTTTAACACGTTTCCCTTTTTATAATTACTTTTAATTTTACACTTTTGGATCCAACACTTTTCTCTGGCTAGCAAGGGGCCTCTACCCCGGTAATTACTCAAAAAAGGGCCTCTACCCTGTAATTACTCTTTTTCTCTTCTCAAGGGGCCTCTACCCCGGTAATTACTCAAAAAAGGGCCTCTACCCTGTAATTACTCTTTTTCTCAAGGGGCCTCTACCCCGGTAATTACTCTAAAAAGGGCCTCTACCCTGTAATTACTCTTTCTCTGCCCTGACTACTTCAAAGGACAGGGACCCCAATACGTCAAGGGGTTCCTTTTTCCTATAGGGACTGGTTACCCACACAGCTAACCTGTTTTCTACAACATAAGACATGACAAAGACGTGACAAAGACAAAACAAAGAAAATTTGATTTAGAGAGATTTGGACAGACCTCCGGGACAGCTCAAAATTTAGCTAGTATCCAATTATGCAGACTTTACATATTAAAAAAGGTGTCTGCTTACCTTATTTTCTTTGTCCGGACTGTTCGAGAGGTCGACCAACATCTTTTCCGCGTCAAAAAATTCAATTTAAACACAAAACAGAGAAAGTGAGGGAGCAAGAGCAAGCCCATCCAAAAGCGAGCCCTTTCAGCGTCCACTGGGATTTCTCCCCTTCCAGATAACGTGCTGTTGCTCCCACACGCCGAAAAAAAGAAACAGAGGAAATTCCCTCAAAACAATCCAGAGAATGGCACAAACCGAGCCGCGCATTCTCCACCAAATCTGTTAGGATTTAAGCAGACAGAGACGGATCGTGGTGTGCCAAACTCTGGAAGTTTATTTAAGTTTCTCTCAAGTTCCACTGGTTTCCTCTGTTTCTTTCTCTCAGACAGAATAAAGGCAGTACACAGTTTATATAGTCATTGTCACGTCACACATCGAAAGACATACGTGTCACAAAGAGACAGTCACATCATAGTCATAACATGGAGTCCTTGTAGAGTCCTTGTACAGTCCTGCACGTAGGCCATATTGCTATCTAATACTAACATAGCTATCTGTCTCGCTTCTCCCATGCTCTTCTGACACAGCCACAGTTTTTACTTACTTTGAAATGTTCTATTGTGAATCTGTGATAACACAATGATGATTTGAAGACATTGTCTGATCGCCAACTTGATCTGCAGTGGAACAAAATTGTGCAGTGGTCTAAATTGTGAAATATTTTCTGCTGACTTAACTGAATTAAAACCTGGAAAGTGCTTGTTTCAACCCTGTGTCAGAGGGTTAGGGTTCATTGTTAGGTGTTTTTGATTTTGTCTGAAAGTTCTACCCATTGTCATGGAAAGTAGTCTGAATATGGGAGCTAGTTTTTCAACACAGTCAAGTACAAGTGCCGTTTTACAAGCCTCTCCTCATAATAGACCTCAAAGTTATTGTTTTGCTTACTGCAGTCTGACAACCGCTCCATATTGTAACCTCAGTGGGGACGAATGAAGGTTCTATTTATCTTATTCAACTCATACAGTGCATGAATTTAATAAGATGAAAACAAAACATTACAGAGTCAGAATATGGGAGCTTGTTTTCGTAACAATTTTTCAACACAGTCAAGTACTGTGATTGTGATAAGCCTCTCCTCATAATATACCCCAAAAGTTATTGTGCACTGCAACATTTGATGACATATGAGGTAATAATTGCTTGAATTGAGTGGTTTTATCTCAATTCCTTGATTTGCCAATGGGACAAACCATTTAGTCTTAACTGTTACTTAATTTTTTCATTCCAAGCGAGAAAGTCATTTGTTGACATTTTGCTCACGTTGGAAAATCTTGTTTTAACCCTCTCCAGGCAGCTGTTGCAGATTTGCAACAACATCATTTCTAATCACCTAACTAATCCACATCCATATTTATAACCCATTTTTTACTCAGATGTACCACTGCTGCACTTTGTTGAGCTTTAGCAACACACAGTTTTCCTCCTGCTCACTAGGGGGTCTCCTTGATTTCACCGAAACAGATTTTCTAGGAATCAATTTCAGTATCACAACCAACCTCTAATACGAAAACTGCATAAAGTGAAAGATAAATATATATATAGATACGGTGCAAGCCAATTTAGATATATTTGAAATCGAATATCTCAGTTTAACTACTTTTATCAGTTAAAGAAGTATTCGAAAAGAGCATTGTTTATTACTGCCTTTTGAAATAGCAAGGCCATTTCATGATGACTTGACATGAAGCTCTCACATATTGCTACTTTAAGGCTCACATTAAGATACATTTTCATCATTTTTTTCAGTGCTCTACTTACTGCAATATGATGACCACTGAAAAATCCATCAATTACGTATTCTCTTTTATTCTTCCCCACTGTGGGACGAATGAAAGTTCTATTTATCTTATTCAATTCATACAATGCATTATTAATAGGCGGGATAGAGCATGTTAGTCCCAGAGAGGCTTTACACTTCTAATCTAATCTTGGGAAAGACAATACTCTCTTTTCCCTGATGGATTCCTGAGCAATAATCCAAGCTGATTGTTGCTGATGCTTGCAAATTTCCTAAAGAATTGTAATCAGATCTCCCCTGTGAATGAGAGTTTCTGCTTGTGATTGGCCTGTTACTTGGGGATGTAAATTTGCATACGGAGCAGTAGAGCACAGTTGATTTATTGGACTAGCTCAAATGAAACGGGCACCATCACTAAAGGAGGATGGACTCATTCAGTGGACATGTTATGGTAATAGATTCCATTGGGACAAGTTGTGTCTTTGGAGAGAAAATATGGGTGATAGGATAGGAGATCGAGAGTTATCATAATATAATGAAAATGTACAGAGGGACATTTAAATAGAAAGTAACTCAAGATTTGGTGATGGTTGATATTACAGTTTAAAAATGTATATGTTTTTGTACAGAACATTACCAACAGAATCTGACAAGAACCTCTGTGTTGTCCAACTGCATGGAAAAGACATTGTAACAGCTGAAAGTGCTGTTGAATCTTTGTTTTCACTTATTTATTTCAAGCCTATAAACAGGAATCAATCATTGTGATGTACAGTATTTACATATACATGATACAAACATAGATAATGTATCTAATATACCTGAATATACATTTATACATACATTTTAGGGTTTCCTTGGTTCACTCCTGACCAAGATATAGTTATACATTTTCCTCTTCACCCCATAGAGACCTGAAATGGAGTGGGAAGAAGTAAGACAAGATTATAATTTTGTCTTCTTCCCACTCCATTTCAGGTATCTATAGCTAAAAGAGAGAAATGCATGTCTATGTCAAACAACTGAATCCTGTATGATAAAAAGAAATTAATGAAAAATGAAATAAACTAACCTAAATTCTCTTTGTACAATTGCTTTGCTTTTTCTTTCATTTTCCAAGCTATAACAATAATATTATATTTGATTGGGCAGGTGGTGCAGCTCCCCCTGAACGTGACCAGAGGCAGCTGGCAGCACATCTGCGTGAACTGGAACCAGAGAGGAGGGAGCTGGCAGGCCTTCCAGGGGGGCCGGCTCAGAGGCGAGGGCCACTCTCTGGCCCCGGGGCACCATATCCGTCCTGGGGGGGTGCTGCTGCTGGGGCAGGAGCAGGTACGTGCTGCTGTACGTTATGTGAGACAGTCATACATTATATGAGTCCTGTTTTCTAGGTTATGAAACACAGTTATAAAACCTGAAAGTGCTCACTTCAACCCTGTGTCAGAGCAGAGGTGGCTGCAGTCTCAAAGAGCCAGAGGGGGTTTTGGGTTCTGAAAAGGGTGACCTTGGTTTTGACTGAAAGCTCTTTCCACCGGCATTGACACAAATCATGATATTGTCTGAATATGGGAGCTTGTATTTGCTTCAGTTTTCCCCAAATCTAATGTTCTCCTTCTGTACAACAGCAGGCGAATACAATAATAAATAGTTCCATAAAAATTGACTAAATGTAACAGTCAATGTTTTATTTTTCACAATGTTGACTTGAAAATGGATCGAATAGTGTGTACTGCTGCTGTATGAAGTCTATCCTAAGGCTTAAAACAGGATTAGCTGGACACTTCAATTTATTGTTTTCTTTGTGGAAAGTTAGTTTGAAGAAAATCTTTTGCATTTGTGTTTTTGTTTCCTTATTTCTGTTATAAGTTATCAGGTTTTTTTTTATTTTTTGTTTTTAGATTGTATTTTTTTCTAGTAGGTATTATTGAACACAATGAGTTATGTTTGGACTGAACCAAAACCGGATCAAGGTCACTCAAAGCCCTTTACAATGTTCAGAATTCAGATATTCAGAATTCAGTGAATGAGAGGGTCACGTCCCTCCGCCTCCGGGTGGGGGACAAGTCTCTCACTGTTGTGACGGCCTACGGGCCTAACGACAGTGCAAAGTACCTGGCCTTCTTGGAGTCCTTGGGAGGTGTACTGGGCAGTATACTGCCCGGGGACTCCGTTATTCTCCTGGGGGACTTCAAAGCCCATGTGGGAAATGCCAGTGACACCTAGAGAGGGGTGATTGGGAAGAACGGTCCCCCTGATCTGAACCCGAGCGGTGTTCAGTCGTTGGACTTCTGTGCTAGTCACAGTTTGTCCATCCTGGACAACATGTTCGAGCACAAGGGTGTTCACCAGTGCTCGTGGCACCAGGACACCCTAGGCCGGAGGTCGATGATCGACTTTGTTGTTGTATCATCTGACCTTCGACCGCATGTCTCGGACACTCGGGTGAAGAGAGGGGCGGAGCTGTCAACCGATCACCACCTGTTCGTGAGTTGGATCCGCTGGCAGGGGAAGAGGCCGGTCGGACCTGGCAGACCCAAGCGTGTAGTGAGGGTCTGCTGGGAACGTCTCGCTGAGCCCCCTGTCATACGGACTTTCAACTCACACCTCCGGGAGAGCTTCTCCCAGGTCCTGGCGGAGGAGGGGGACATGGAGTCCGAGTGGACCATGTTCTCTTCCTCTATCGCCGATGCGGCAGCTCGTAGCTGTGGTCGCAGAGTCTCTGGTGCTGGTCCCGGCGGCAACCCACAAACCCGGTGGTGGACACCGGCAGTAAGAGATGCCGTCAGGCTGAAGAAGGAGTCCTATCGAGCCATGATGGTTTGTGGTACTCCTGAGGCCGCTGTCCAGTACCGGCAGGCCAAGCGTGCCGCGGCCCGGGCTGTTGCAGAGGCAAAACCCCGGGATTTGGAGGAGTTCGGAGAGTCCATGAAACATGACTATCGGTCGGCCTCGAAGAGATTCTGGCAAACCGTCCGGCACCTCAGGAGGGGGAAGCAGTTCTTTGCCAACACCGTGTATGGTGCGGGAGGAGAGCTGCTGACCTCGACTGGGGATATTGTCGGGCGGTGGACGGAATACTTTGAGGTTCTCCTCAATCCCCCTGTCACGTCCTCCGCCCTGGAGGCAGAGGCTGAGGATGTTGGGGCGGATACTTCCATCTCCCTGGCTGAGGTCACCAAGGCGCCGGGAGTGGATGAGATCCGTCCTGACTATCTGAAGTCTCTGGATGTTGTAGGACTGTCTTGGCTGACACGTCTCTGCAACATTGCGTGGCATTCGGGGGCGGTACCAATGGAGTGGCAGACCGGGGTGGTGGTCCCTGTCTACAAGAAGGGGGACCGGAGGGTGTGTTCCAATTATCGTGGGATCACACTCCTCAGCCTCCCCGGTAAGGTCTACTCCAAGGTATGGAGAGGAGACTACGACCGATGGTCGAATCTCGGATTCAGGAGCAGTGTGGTTTTTGTCCCGGCTGCGGGACACTGGACCTGCTCTATACTCTCCATTGGATACTCATGGGAGTTCGCCCAACCTGTCCACATGTGCTTTGTGGATTTGGAGAAAGGCGTTCGACCGTGTTCCCCGGGGGGGCCTTTGGGGGGTTCTCCGGGAGTATGGGGTCCGGGGACCACAGGATTTCAGCCCTGCTTTTTGCGGATGATGTTGTCCTGTTGGCTCCAACGAGCTAGGACCTGAAACATGCACTGAGGCGGTTTGCAGCCAAGTGTGAAGCGGCTGGGATGAGAATGAGCACTTCCAAATCCGAGGCCATGGTGCTCGACCGGAAAAAGGTGCCTTGCCCGCTCCAGGTGGGTGGAGAGGTCCTTCCTCAAGTGGAGGAGTTCAAGTATCTCGGGGTCTTGTTCACGAGTGAGGGAAGGATGGAGAGTGAGATTGACAGGCGGATCACTGCGGTCGCTGTATCGGATCGTCGTGGTGAAGAGGGAGCTGAGACGAAAGGCAAAGCTCTCGATTTACTGGTCAACCTTTGTTCCCTTCCTCACCTATGATCATGAGCTTTGGGTAATGACCGAAAGAACGAGATCGCGGATACAAGCGGTCGAAATGAGCTTCCTCCGCAGAGTGGCTGGGCGCTCCCTTAGAAATAGTGTGAGGAGCTTAGTCACACACACGGGAGGAACCAGTTGAAGGTGGCTTGGGCATCTGTTCCGGATGCCTCCTGGACGCCTCCCTGGGAAGGTGTTCCGGGCACGTCCCACCGGGAGGAGGCCCCAGGGAAGACCCAGGACACGCTGGAGGGACTATGTCTCTCAGCTGGCCTGGGAACGTCTTGGGGTCCCCCCGGATGAGCTGGAGGAAGTGTGTGTGGACAGGGAAATCTGGGCGTCTCTGCTTAGACTGCTGCCCCCGCGACCCGGCAACGGATGAAGCGGAAGAAAATGAATGGACGGATGGAGAATTCAGATAATTTTCCATTCTCTCCACACACAGTGATGATGGAAGGGAGATGCCGAACACATTGCTCCTACCAACACCATACATTTACTCCCTCATTACATTCATACCTATTGTACATGTTTTAAGTGGTAAGATGAAACCGGAGGAAACCAGACATGGGGAGAACATGCAAACTCCACACAGAAAAGCCTGGAGGTGGAATTGAACCCAGGACCTTCTTGCTGTGAAGCACAAGCTCTAACCGCCACTGTTAATTTTTACGCTAATTCTGATTTTGATGTTTCCTTCAGGACACAGTTGGCGGTGGGTTTGACTCCACCCAGGCACTGGTGGGAGAGCTATCCCAGGTTGGCATGTGGGACCGGGTTCTGTCACCAAACCAAGTGTCCAGTCTGTCGCGCTGCAGCAGCATAAGCCTGGGCGGAGTGGCAGTGTGGACTGAGAGCCAGATACAAGTACACGGAGGAGCCACCAAGGACCCGGGCGAGCCTTGTAGTAAACACAGCAAACACTCCCAGTGACGGACGCGGCCTTACAGACTGTGAGACGGCAGCCAGAAGACAAGCTGTCAGAGGCGGGGGACTCATGGGGCCATGGACGGACACCGGAAGAAGAGGATGATAAGTCAAACTGAGGAGAATACTTTTAAAATAGCCACAAAATACCAATGCGTGAGTTATTGCATATATTGATCAGAGTAAAAAAGTTAGGTTCTGTGTTTGCATGTCTAAACAGAGATGGTAATAATTAGGTATTTATTTTCCAAAGGATGTAGGACGAACCTAAAAACTTAAATTTCAAAAACGGGTTCCACTCTCATTGACTGTAAAGCTCTAAAAACTAGCTGTTCAAAATAAAAAAAATTGAGGCAGCCCTTGGAATAAAATACTGTGAGTTGAATGACCCACTGCAACTTTTAGTCAACTCAAAAAAGAAAAAGTTAATTGTCTGTAAGTCTCTATACTTTCCAATGAAAGTCTGTCTGCGTGACACAAAAACTTCAAAATGGTCACAGTCAGCACAAATGCAGTTAGGTGATGCAGTTATGTTTTTCTATCCGCCCCGAAAAGTGCTGAATCCACATTGGTCACTTTTAGCCACAAGGATAAGATTTGCAGACCCAACTTTCAACAGAAAATCTAGTTTAAGACATCTGGACATGAAACTTTGACGTGTCAAATGGGCCCTATTGGCTCCATCTATTATTGATGGTGTAGTGGTTTACTTCGAATGTCAATAAGAACTTTCACAGGAGCCAAGAATAAAAATTAATATAATGCCTTTATTAATTCAATTAACAATACAGGAGAGACCCGTCAATCATGCATGGAGCTCGCTCTGCGCAGAAGAAGCTCCCCGTCACTCCTTGCTTTCCTTTTTAACTGCTCCTGTCAATACCAAATATGGACTCCCACCGCTGCGACCGAATAACAGGATCCAGATGTTTCCTTAATGACTGTTACCAAACAGAATTCTTTACCGGTCAACAGACAGTGTTCAGGTCAGGCCGACCCAGCGCTTCCTAAACATATCCCAAAAGAACATTCCATTGCACTTAGGAAATCATAATATTTGTCAAACATTCTACCACATATTTCCCCCCCTTTCATGGCTCCCAGCCATGAATTAAGTTCCTTCACTAACTTTTCCTCAGCCTTAGCAAAGTAGTTACATGAGTTACACAATAATGTCAAACACTTAGTAAATGAGAGTAAATGAGATAACATAACTTTCAAACACTTGATACATGATACAAAACAATATCACTCTTGAGTGTAGGCGTTGGCCGAACTTGGCTCGCACTTGCATTGTACATTATTTTGATTAAACATGAACTTAAGATGGACGAGTGGTCAAAAAGTAGGTATACTGTCACAGTCCATGGTCTTTTCATCGTCCAACGAGTCGTCTTCCGCTAACCAGTCCTTGATGGGGAACTGCTCTGGTTGGCTACTCTTGCTCTCCGCATTCAGCACTAACATCTGTCTTGTTACCCCTCGCACCACTACTGCTCTCAATACCGGAATGCAACAGCAGAGGACAAGACTTATTGCCACAATGCAAATAATAACTGGTACTCCAATCTTCACCAACCCCAGTTTCCATGATCCTAAAGTCTGCTGTAGCCAGCCCAGCCAGTCCAACTCTGCATCCCTTCCAGCATTCTTCTTCATCTCCAACCTTAGAGCCTTGATTCTCCCCATTGCCTGTGTGAAAGCTCCTCCTACTCCTGTATGATCGGGAATAAATGTACAACAGTATTCACCCACTAGGGCACAGACCCCTGAGGTCTCTGCCAAAACCCAGTCTAAGGCCTGTCTATTCTGCCAGGCTACAGCACTAGTTGCATGCAACTGCTCTCCCAGGGCTGACATGGCACTATCCGTGTAATTGATGAACTGCTGGAAATTGTAGTAAATGTAGTTTATCCACTCAGTGTTTTTATTTGTGGAGATCCAGGGTAAAATGGATTCAAACCCTGACTTAATTTCAGATCTCGCCTTAAACTCCTCCGGGATCCCTCTAGGCTGCCCAATACTGTCTAAATACACACCAGGGTCTGGTCTGAACGCCCTCTTCACCCTCTTACTATCACTTGTTTCCTCCCCCTGTGGGAAAACAATGAGCTCCTGCACCACCTGCACTCTGGCGCATCTTCCAGACCAGTTGCCTGGAAGAACAGGAAACAGTACTTGGCCTCCACACCACCAAAAGTGATCGGAGAGAGGCGTTACCTGACTATGGAACGGGCAGGCAGGGACATACACAGTCTCCAATTGGGGTCCCTTAATCTGGACAGCTCGCTTCAGGGTAGACTTATTACAGTTGGCATTTACATTCCAGATGCTACTACACTTAGTTGCCTTGACTTCCCCCAACCTTACTGACCCTGTCTTTTCTATGCACTCGTACCGGCCTACAGGAAAGAATGCCACACCTCCCGGGGTCCCCATTTTTGCGCTCTGCATGCTTACTCTAACGTCTATCTCTGCACAGCGCTGAGTGTTTGTTTTACCTTTGTGCATAAACTCAACCTGCTCTTTGTACTGCGGGGTTCCCAAATACAACAGGCACTCCGCTTTACACCATATGCGCAGCGGGTCATTCTCTCTTACTGCTGTGTCACTACACTCCTTCCAACTAAACACAGTATTAAAAAGGAACAAAGGATCGGCCCTTGCCTTTGTACAAACGTAGCAGTCAGTCATTCCATTTGTCCGGCCTGCATACTGAACCCACTGATACCAGCTGTTATACTCTGCGCGATTTAGTAGTCTATCTGGCTCTACCTCCTCGGTCTCATCACCTAGCCCTGCACCAATTCTCGAAACAAAACCTCCAGCCGCCTGTCCTATCCCAGCCACCGTCCTGTGAAACCAGTCCGTCCAATTTAGGTTAGTCTTAACCACGTCACTGATCTCTGCAGTTTTTAAATTCATTCTATCCCCGTCATGCTTCTCCATTGAGTTGTCTCTCCGTACGTCAGTCAACAGTACGTCAGGATGTCGGTTTTGGCCATCCGGGACTATCAGGTCAGCCCTACTCTGTCCAGTCAGGTCAGTGTCTGCCTGATCATTCTGATTGTCCGCTAGGCGAGCTATGTCAAGGTTGGTAGGGTTGTTGCTGTATTTGGGCTCCAGCATCAGTTTTGTCAGTCAGTTCTGGTGAGTCCATCAGTCTCTTTTGGATGGGTGACACCTTTATCACAGTCCGGTCCTCTAGTTCTGAGGGCTTCAACAGTCTCTCCTGGATCGGTGACCCTCTGGATTGTGTCCCCTCTTCCAGTTCTGAGGGCCTCAACAGTCTCTCCTGGATCGGTGACTCTCTAGAAGCAAGTTCAGTCCCACGTTCTGTGTGTAGAGTTCCGTCAGTCTGTCCTGTTTTGTCTGGGCTGGCGGGTAAGTCCACCCGCATGCCTTGGTCTACAGTCATGTGGTCTTTTTCCTCCATCTGTATAACAGTCTCGTCTTTGTACCCCGGAGGGTTCAATTTAACTTCACGTTCCTCAATTCCAGTTACGAAAAGCTTGGTCCATCCCACAACGTATGTCTGTGGTAATTGTCCTTTCAATGGGTCAAATTCCACCCGTACTAGCCACACATCGCCTTTTTCCTTTATGGCAATACCACAGTCTCTTTCACCCCACGTTGACCTAATCATCTTCTTTCTCCCAAGTGACCAACCGATCCCACACAGTCGATAGTCAGAAGTTTTCACATAAACATTGAACGTGGTCATGTCATCAGTCCAGATCATAAGGGGCATTTGGGCAGTCCAGCTCACGTCTTCTTTGTATGTTCTACTAGGGTCTGTGTACGACCAATTGTCCTCTAGTGGCCATTTATCGATTGCTCTTCTATGTCTCTCGGCCAGTGGGAGTTCCTGTCCCTTCCACCAGGATGACGTCAGGGAACTCAGCGGTACTATCATGGTCATTACCAGCACCACGAGGATCCTCGTTCCCCCCTTCCAAGGACTCGTCGCCTTGGCAGCCATGGTCATTCTTCTCCTTTTCCTTTATGGTCTTTTCCTCGTTGCCGTCAGCCGGGGCCTTGACGCAGTGGTTTAGGTGGTACCACGTCGGTGATCCCTTCACCTGCACCGCTGTTGACGTCGCGTTCACGACCTCGTAGGGACCTTCCCTCCGTGGAGTATGCCACTTCCGTCGGAAGGTTTTCACATAGACCAGGTCCCCCGGCTTCACTGCAGGTGGCACCTCCTCCTCCTTTGTCTGGCTCTGCACAGAGTTAATACGAGCAAAAATACTCCTGTGGATGTTAGACAACTGTTTCACATAGGATTTCATGTCATTTGTTAACACATCAATAGGGGGGCCCTTAGCAGCTCTGTACACCGGTGATGGCATTGGCCGACCAGTGAGCGCTTCATGCGGGGTTAGTTTTAAGCTTCTATTGGCGCTCCCCCTATAGGCCATCAAGGCAAGTGGCAGTGCATCCACCCAATTCAAGGCGGTGTTCATGCAAATTTTTAGTAGTTTGTTTTTTAGTATACCATTCGCTCTTTCAACCATCCCTTGACTCTGAGGATGATAAACACATCCTAACCTTTGCTTGACTCCTAACTTTTGCAACACACATTTTACGGTTTTGTCTACAAATTCCCGGCCGTTATCAGAGCTGATACGTCGGGGAAGCCCAAATCTAGGAAAAACCTCCCTGCACAAAAACTTTGCCACTGTGTCTGCATTCTTATTTTTTGCAGGTAGGGCCTCAATCCATCTACTAAATCTGTCAATGACAACCAACATGTACCGTTTACCTTGCACTGGTCGAATCATGTCAACATAATCAATGGTTAAATGCTGAAATGGTCCTTCAGGAGTTGGAATGTGACCGGCGGGTGGGGTCATGCCCCTGCGAATGTTACTTTTTAGACATATTTCACAGTGACTAATTACATCGTCCACGTGCTGCTGTAGTTTTGGAGCCCAGAAGTTCCACTCCCTTATCTTCCGCAGCACTTCTCCTCTCGACTCATGAGCCAACCCATGAGCCTCGTT